ACAGTTAGTTGATAATAATGATATTTTTTAAAGATAAGTCTATTTAGTATATTTAGTTCAAATACAAGCTCAAATACAGTTAAAATATAACAGAATATCTAAGTCTCGCTCTCACCGTTCAATAAAAAAATCATTAATTCCTCGGGTGCCTCTAGAACTCCCAGAGCAGTCAATTTGACGGCTTTAAGTTTTGGAACAGTAATGTACCCATTTCATTTTTCCTAAAGTGTGAATAAAAGTGGATAAAGGTTACTTGTTTTGGGGGATTTTTTTCAGAATTCCACACGAGCAGGCAAAATGAAGGTTCTGGAAGTTCTGGTAGTTTCAGAATTGTGGGAGTTCCAGTGTTAATGAAGAAGCTCCCAGCCAGTTCAGTCTTAAGAAAGTAGCTCTCTGGGTGAAAATGTTGGATAAGCCTGTGTGAGAATGTCCTTCAGTTGCTTCATGTTTCTAGTGAATTCATTGACAGAATACCTGCTTGATTAAACCATTATCAAAATAAACATTAGCTTAAGCCCTAAAAATTTCACGGCGGAAAATGATCACATAATTGAAAGAATGGAGAAATTGGATGCATTAAATGAATATGTCTCTCCGACTGACTGTGTTATACTGTCTTATAAGCTCTTCATATTTTCTATTAAAATCAATCAAAAAAAACAATCAAAAAAAAAAACTCCAGTCCAAAAGTTTTAGTCAAAGCCAAGTCATTCTCTGTTTTCATGTAGTCACAGTTGTCCCCTGCAGTAGCTAAGTGGATGAGATTATAATTCCACATTTTCTTTAATCACACATAAGAACGCACTTATACAACACCTGCACAGCCATGAACGGCGTATTTGAAAACTAGTCAGATTGAAGAAAAATGGAGAGGAAACGCCAATACCAAAACCATAATGTTGCGTGACGGCTGTGTTTGCGCTCAAGCTGTTGTGAACACATGACTGCGAGAGACGGGAGAGACACCCAGAGCTCTATTACAGCTCAGTCTGCAAATAAGCAGCCAAACAGCACATTGTTGTCTCGGTGTCATGGCACATCACCGCCGTTCTGCCTCAATTAGCTCAGCTCGGAACCGCAACAATCACTCCGTCGCCTGCATACCGCCGAGACAATTCAAATTCCATCAAAGTCTGTCACAAAGTTGCGGATCGCGAGTATTACAATGATAATGAATAGCGTTGGTCCTGGGATTGTGTTCTCAAGACGCTTTCAGAGACCAGAGAGATACATAGACAAAACACCAGGGATTATATCATTCGAAAAAAATATATATATTATGGTTTTTTTGTTATTTTATGTCGTGTTGTTTTCCAATACAAAAAGCAATGTGTGTAATATTGAGTCTTAGTGGATTAATGAAGTCAGTTTTGAAAAGTGCTATACAAAAAAAGATTATTAGATTATTAGAATTACAATTCGACTGATGATTGTGAGAATCTAACCAGCCAGGGACACAGGTGGCTACTAAGTGAGTGAGTAAGTAAGTAATCTTTATAGTGCCTTTCACAGACCACAGTCACAAATTTCTTTACAATTGTCGAAAATTACTGATTAGATGCAAACCACCTGCTGGGAAACAACCGTGTGTTACGTTTGATTACTTATTTTTGTGTCTTCTACAACAAGAGAAACAGCCAAGACCAGCCAAATGTCTCCTAACAAACTGGCAACCGAAATGAGGGCCTCATTCTGCTCTCTGATTGGACAATATTCTTGAAGTCCATAAACATAAATAATACAACCACTTGTGTTTTTAATCGAGAATAAATACAACAACTAACATGTACAGATGTAAACACACAGCTGCTAACATCTACAGATGCTAACAGCAGTGTGTTTGCATCTGCTGCTAACATGTACAGACGTAAACACTGCTGTTAGCATCTGTACATGTTACTACTGCTAACATGTACATATGTAAACATACTAATGCTAACATGTACAGATGTGAATACACTGCTGCTAATGTACAGATGTAAATACACTGCTGCTAACATGTACAGATGTAGCGTTAAACATACTAATGCTAACATGTACAGATGTAAACATACTAATGCTAACATGTACAGATGTAAACATACTGCTGCTAAAATGTACAGATGTAAATACACTGCTGCTAATGTACAGTTGTAAACATACTGCTGCTAATGTACAGATGTAAATACACTGCTGCTAATGTACAGATGTAAATACACTGCTGCTAATGTACAGATGTAAATACACTGCTGCTAATGTACAGATGTAAATACACTGCTGCTAATGTACAGATGTAAATACACTGCTGCTAATGTACAGATGTAAATACACTGCTGCTAACATGTACAGATGCTAACATGTACTACACTTTGCTTGCACTAGAATACATAGTACTTTATATTCGGCCTCTTATTGCCAAATGTTAAACTTTTTTACACCTCTTTTATTATTTTCAAGATAGAGATGTTATACTTATTTTTGATGCTAGAGTTAGAGTTTTTGTTTTGTTTTAATTAGTATAGATATTGTTCACATAACTTGTGCCGTGTGCTCCTCTTTCCCCTACTGTCCTATAACTTGTGATGCAACACTGAAATTTCCCCACTGTGGGACGAAAAAAGGATCTCTTAACACACTTATAACTTTGGTTCAGAAAAGGTAAATTATGATGTAGATATATTTTAAAATGAAAATGTTGTGTGCTGTTTCCTTTGAATACATTTCCAACACAGAATTCATGTCAATATAAAAGAGAAAAGAGTCATGGAATCTTACCATCGCACAGTGCTATTAGTCCTCCTCCTCAGGTGAAAGTAGTCCCCTAATCTGTTGCAGACTAAGCACCTATCCAAAATTGACCGTACAATTTCTCTAAAAGAATAAAGTCTTACATCGTATTTGATCCTAAAACTGCCCTTTCAAACGAGCGAGAACAAAAGTTGGCGAAACTAAATTGCTACTAATGATCCAAGACTTTTTTCTAAAGGTTATCACACAGTGGTGGTTTGCTGCCACTTTGAGCTTGAAATAGAGTTTAAATCTATACAAAAGGATAGATAATTGGCCATTGCTTAGAAAAGGATGTACAGTACAGACCTTACCACATTGTAAAAGCCTTTTCTTATATCCATCCAGCAATTTTCTTCTCCTTAACGCATTTCTGGGTCAACCAACCAACCATTTCACATATCTCAAGCCCCTTTCTTATACATACATAACATAGAAATAAAGTCTGTCCGTCTTTTTTTCTCAAATGTGCTCTGAAGTAGCTTGTAAACAGTTGGTTTGTGCTTTAACAATTGCTATTTTTTTTCTTGCTGTTTTCTACCTGAGATTTCGCTGCAATACAGTGTTTATGGTTTTACAATGGTCCAGACCGGAGCGGAGAGGATTCATGGTCTGAACCAAGCAGATCAGGCGAAAATCCACTGGAGGAAGGCTAACTTTTTGAAAACGTTTTTGAAAGAAGAATTTTACTTTGGATTGGAGCAGAGAAAATGGTCCGAACCAAGCGGCTACTCCACCTCTGCTGCTGTAAAGTGCTGTTGCTTCTTAATACTATTGTTAGCTTTGTAGAATGATCAATTTTTATTTATTTTTTACTGCTACTGGACACATGAATTTCTCCTACGGGGATCAATAAAGTATCTATCCATCTATCTGTCTGTCCAGTTTGCTTACTCCACATCACAATATTGTCTAACCAGCACCTAATTTCATTCAAAAATACATCTGTCTGTCCACGTCTCCAAGGGTCATCCAATTTAGCAACATTTGTATCCTAATATATTGCACAACATTTTCATTTTGTGTTCATTGATTAAAGCAAAATCAGTCTGCAAATAAGCAGAAATTGTGCTTTAAGGTCAATACTTGGAAAACAAAATATACTGGCCCGATACATGGGTTAAACTTTTTGAGATGCTGTAACTTTTTAGTATTTTAATGATGTGCTCTTCCTCTGATGTCCTGACTCCAGAGAGGAACCAGCTGCGTATGCAAATTGCAATCTGGTAAATCAAATGACATTGTATTCCACAGGTTTTGGATTCAGAGTCAATTATTTGAATCTAATTTAATATAATTTAATTCTACGGGAAACAGAATTATTTGTATTGTTATTGTAAGCAACATGAATACAGGTATTTCAATACATACATTATAATCCTAGACGTGGGAAGTTGTTTTTGGCAGATAAACAGTGCAGAAGGATATGTTTATCTGGAGCAGTCTTCCTGAAAATGTGAGACGGGCTTCTTCACTGACAACGCTCAAATCCAAGTTAAAAACACTTCTGTTTAGCTCTGCACACAACAGCAAGATTGTACTCTTTTCCAATGTACTGTGAATATTTATTATTTTATATAAATATTCTGGTGCTATGAGACTTGGGTGGCATCTCTGACTGCCACCCCCCTGACCCAGAAATGGATTAAAGGGTAGAAGATGGATGGATGGATATATAATTGTATTGTGTCTATTTTGTTTTGTCAAGCACTTTAAGGTGCCTTGTGTATGAACTGTGCTATACAAAGAAACTTGCCTGAAACAGTAATACTCTCCCTGATGAAGGCTTGTGGCTGGAACATTTTGTGGGGTCAGGTCTATTGCCAGATTCCATAAATAATCTCATTTTGAATTTTCATTTAAATACCTTGACAATTCCCTTCACTTCATCTACAAACTTCCAGACAACACACACATTCTAAACAAGACGCCAATCAATCAACTTTAATCTGTAGAGCGCCTTTCCTACACAAGGCAACACAAAGCGCCTCACAACCCACATCACATTGAGCATAAATCATAAACATTATAATCTACATATACATAAAAAAAATACGTATTCAAATCCGCTCTGCAAATCATATCGGTTAAACAGGGGAAGTACCATGCCTCAAACAGTTACTATAGCAACAGCTCAGCCAATGAAAAGTGGATGTTGCGATGCTGTGGAATGCCCGTGGTCCCTGAGAGACACACACACGGTACAGTATATTACACAACAGAGTTAGCGGCAGATGCTAACCACCACAGCGCTTCCATCTGCCAGCCCCTCCTGTCTCACTGTGCCCAACGTCTGTAATCTGATTAAGCAGCGACTGGCCGACCGGGGCGCCGTCGTGAGCCACGGTCCACGCCGCGGTCCTCTGCATCTGCGTCATGTGGAGAAGCATGTGCACGCTGCAACATGGATTAAAGAGGCAGGGGAGTTTGGGAGCCATGAACATGTAGCTTCCACAACCTTCATTGGATTCATATCAGCCGTGGCTATGGTCATGGAGCTAAAACTTCAAACTTGATATGGATGTAAACAAAAATAATGTTTACTATTTACTACTAATAATACTAATATTCACTACTTCTAATAATATTTACTATTTTCTACTACTATTGTATCTCTGACTGTCAATCCCCCGACCAAGAAATAGATTTAGGGAAAGAAAATGGATGGATTTACTATTTATTTATATATTTGTGTGTATAAAAGGAGAGAGGAAAGAGATCCTACATTCGCACAGTGAGGAAATTCCTATGTTGCATCGCAAGAAAAAAGTAAGAACATACAGGGAGCACACAAAATATACAACATAAGTAGCTGCTATGATTATTGGCTATAGCTGTAAATGCTTCAATATCCATCTTTCAAAATAGCTCTATATATATATATATATATATATATATATATATAAATAATGCAAGGTTATGGACGTATAGGGCTCTAATTATCACACACACACATACACATAAAAGGGGTTGGACAATTACTTGAGAGATGATTAAAACATTCTTTTTTTTTTCCGGAAAAATGGTACCGTGGCAAGAGCTCTGGTGTGTACTCTCTGGTGCAAACAGAGGTAGTCTTGCACAGCTATTCCAATGGGGTTTGACTGCAAATGGCAATTACTTTCTTTGATCTTGTATTCATTCATTCTCATCACCTTCATTAGTCCATTTCTGGGTTGGGGTGAAGAACGGGTTGGCAATCAGAGCTGCTAACGTAATTCTCACAGCCCCAGCCCCTCACTGATCCTCGGGCAGGTGGGTCCACGGGAAGATGGCTGCTCGGTTTGGTGTTTCAGCGGGGGGCATCAGGCAAAGTGGGGTTAAATGTTTGCCGCAGCAGACATCAGTGGGAGCAGGTGACATGATCCACCAACGACCATAGGTTCAAAGACCAATGCTCTACCAACTGAGCCACTGTCGCCCCTGATTAAAACATTAAAACATATTATGTTTGTGAAAATAAATAATAATTCAATATTATAGTGTTTTTTTGTGATACAATAAGATATGTCTAGCACAGTGGTGATCATCCAGGACTCTTGACATTCAACGACATCCATGGACTTTATCAACATTTGTAAATTTCCCCATTGTGAGAACAAAAAAGTTTATCTTATCTTATCTTATCTCAGTAATGGACCAATGCCTCTATGTGTTTTCTATCATTGCATTTCTGTAGTTGGAAATGTTTCATTATTCTGATTTTTGTGAACAAATTTGACGTTTTTGTAAAGTCCTACGAGATAACTACTGTTGTGATTTAAGGCTACAAGAAGATAAATTAATTATCAGCTAACTAAGCGATTCTCAAAATAATTGTTAATTCCAGCTCCATTCATGACTTACCGGAGTCATTTGTCGCTGCGTCTTCCAGGAGATGCCATTGTTTAAACGGCAGCTGCAGATTAAACTGCTTGATGCCTTTTTATCCAGATGGAAAAACTCAAAGGACCTCTTTAGTATAGTGAGCTGAGCCAATAACACCTGAATTAAAACTCCAGATGCATAACAAGATTGTATTTTCCGCAAACAAATATTTCCCACATACTGTTTGTCTCAGAGTGCAGAAAAGAAGCACTCTCTTTGGTTTCAGTGCAGCATGAGGAGCTCTAGTCCCATTTGTTCTACTAATACAACATCTAACAATAACACAATCTAATGCTTTTAGGGGCATGCTACAAAGAGAAGATGAATCATGAAAAATATACTTATCATGTATAAAGTTGCACAACAAAGCCCGGCACATCTGACACTGGTCTAAGCTGTATTCAAATCCTAACTTTGAAGCCACTTAAACATTAATTATGTGAATCCATGTACTTACTTCCTACAGCTCTCTGAAATTGTTTTGCTCTCTCACTAGTTTTTGCTGAGTTTTGGCTCATTTCAGATCTAAGAGAAGTAAAAGAGAAGTCCAGCCCTCCCTCAATTCAATTCAATGTATTTTTGAATAGCCCTAAATCATAACAGCATGATATCTCAGGAGGATTTTACAAAGTTGTTGATTTGCCAACACAGATTAGAGAATCAACCATTGAGTCATAAGGGGCAGATGACCGATGTACATAAATATTGGTGAATATTGAGGTTTTCTGGAACATCACCCCTGTCCTTAGACCCTCCTGCATCAGCAAGGAAAAACAAATAAGATAAATTCATCATGTAACCTAAAGAGCTGTTGCCCCTTAGTACTATTCTTAGTAACTTTTAGAATTATGTATTTATTCAATGACGTATCTATCTATCTATCTATCCATCTATTATGTTGTGATTTGATTCACAAAGCCAATACTCTCACTGTTGCGACAAACACACATGAAAAACACATTTTAATTGTGATTTATTTTACTGAAAATCAAAAGTTACGTACCCCAGCTTTAAAACCAAGTGCCTGAAGGGGGTTGTTGTGTCTATGTTTAATCACGATCTTGCCTAACCCTGCAGATCCCACCAGCTGTGCCATGCTCTGGGCACTTCTGCGCCTCTCACCAGGTAAAAAGGCCCTTCAGCCACAATCTGCTCCATGTTGCATCAAGCTTAACACCTCATTGGCATTCAGGCACACAGGCGTATAGACAGGAGAGAATGGAGAAGGAGGATTGTTGCTATTAAGATTCTACAAAGCAAGCCGTCCCCTCGCTGCCATGAGCTTCACAGACTGAGAATGATAATAAAAGAGCAGGCAGCAGCTGGGCCACACCAGAGCTCAGCCAAGACACACAGCGAGCAAGACAATAGGGGACAATGGGGGAGATGTTTTAACCATTAAGTGAGTGAAAGCTTCAATTACATGTGTAAATAAAGTAGTAGTAATAAATGTAATAAATCATGAAGCGATTTTTACTCACAGTCAGGCAGTATTTGGATTACGATTACAAACACCACGTATGCAGGCCTATCACAATAGCTATCTTTGAAGCAGGACGATATATTCAGAACATTATTCCGATGAACGTATTGAAACTAGTTAATGGCACTGATGCTGGTTCAATGAAGTTGGATAAGGTTTTTTTGTATTTGTCAATTTCAGCAACAAAGCAGGGAAATAAACGGCAGAGTTACGTCATATTTAGTCTACTGGGGCGACTGTTGCTCAGTTGGTAGAGCATTGGGCTTTAAGCCTGAAGGTCGTGGGTTTGAGTCCACCACAAGACTTTCTCCCCCGACTTCCACTGATGTCTGCTGTCGTTGTGTCCTTGGCAAGACACTTAACCTCTGGGAACATCAGCCACAGTGGGGCGGCTGCGGCTGTAAAGTGCCAAACTGCCGTTGTGTCATTAGGCAAGACACTTCACTCCCATTGCCTAGAATGAGTCTGGTGAGTGTGTGAATGGTTGGTGGTGGTCAGAGAGGCCGATGGCACATACTGGTTGCCTCGCTTCCGTCAGTGTGCCCCAGGGCAGCTGTGGCTCCAGTAGTAGTTTGTCACTGCTGTGTATGGAGTGAATGAATAATGACATGTCAAAAAGCACTATATAAAACTTATGCATTATTATAATTATTATTAGTCTTATTGAACTATTTACAGCTAAATTGCAAAAACAAAAATAATCATAAAAATTATGCATTTGTTTTACATAGAACATTTTAGTCACGAGTGAGGGAAGAATGGAGCGTGAGATTGACAGGCGGATCGGTGCAGCGTGCGCAGTGATGCGGTCTCTGTATTGGACCGTTGTGGTAAAGAGGGAGCTGAGCCAAAAGGCAAAGCTCTCGATTTACCGGTCAATCTTCGTTCCCTCCCTCACCTATGGTCATGAGCTTTGGGGAATGACCGAAAGAACGAGATCGCGGATGCAAGCGGTCGAAATGAGCTTCCTCCGCAGAGTGGCTGGGCGCTCCCTTAGAGATAGGGTGAGGAGCTCGGTCACACAGGAGGAGCTCGGAGTAGAGCCGCTGCTTCTCCACGTCGAGAGGAACCAGTTGAGGTGGCTCGGGCATCTGTTCAGGATGCCTCCTGGACGCCTTCCTGGGGAGGTGTTCCGGGCACGTCCCACCGGGAGGAGGCCCCGGGGAAGACCCAGGACATGCTGAGGGACTATGTCTCTCAGCTGGCCTGGGAACGCCTTGGGGTCCCCCCGGACGAGCTGGAGGAGGTGTGTGTGGATAGGGAAGTCTGGGCGTCTCTGCTTAGACTGCTGCCCCCGCGACCCGGCAACGGATAAAGCGGAAGAAAATGGATGGATGGATGGATAGAACATTTTTGGACACTCAAAGACACTTCACAGGCCAATTTAAAAGCCACAGCTGGCCTGGGGCAGACTGACAGAATCGAGGCAACCAGTATGTGCCCTTGACATTATAAATCCAATGTATATGCATGTATATAAGTTAAATCTAACCATCAAAAAAATATATTAATGGAAACAAGACCTAAAAACATGAAATAGAAGAACTATTGAAAGTTTTTTTTTTATGGCTATTGAAGGTTGTTTTTTGTAAGGAAAGTTGTAAGAAGTTGTTCTAGTATGTAAATCTGAATAAACATCAAATAGTTATGAGATCTAATCCTCAACTCTTTGTTGAATTACGGTACATACAATCTGGTATTGTGTTAGAAGTTAGACGTGTTTCCACATGTCTCCGGCAATACCTGCATCTAAGAAAAATAACAATCTTCTCGTCATGGACAGAGAAGATTGTTTTGTATTTCAGAGTTGTATCAGCGTAAGGAAGCGTAAAGAGAAGCCTTGAACCACATCTCGACACTGACTTCATTGTTTTATGTCTAGATATGTCTTTGTTTACTCTTGTCTATTTCATGTCTAGTAATTTCCTGATTCGGGGCAGACGGTTTCAGATCGCTGCCAGGTAATAAGGTTGATGTCGTTCCTTTTTCATTGTATATGTGCATATTTACTGATGAATAAACTGCACTTAGATTATATTACAGCTCTTGGTTGTTTACATTTTTGTGCTCTGAACCTGTGCAGAAATTCCACAACAGAGTGTTTTAGATTTTCTTTCTATTCGGACATGTACTGATCATTATTCCTATATGCAGTGATTGTACAAT